TTGCTGATTTGTTCCTCTGCTCATCTACCCTGCTTTTAATTCCTTCTACTGTGTTCTTCAATTCAGAAATTGTATTATTCATTTCCTCTTGTCTCTTATTGATAGTTTCTATGTCCCTTTTAATGCTGATATAGTTTGCAGTAAGTTCCTCATAGTTTCCCTGTAGTTTTTTATAATTCTCTCTGAGCTCACTTAGCACCTGAGCTTCCTTAGAACCGTTGTTTGGAACTCAGTATCTGCTGGTTTACTTTCCTCTATTTCATTTATTTCTCTTTCTGGGTATTCCTCCTTTTCCTTCTACTGGGGTGTTTCTTTTTTCTTCCCCCTTTTTCATTGATCTGTCTTGATCTGTCTTGATCTGTCTTAAATTGATCTTTCTTGATTTCCTGACTTTGTAGTGTGAACTTCTATGGTAGGAGACCTCTGTTTTTTTCTTTCTTTATCTGCCTCTGATGATGTCAGATGTTGACCCTTTCTGACCTTAGACAGTCTGTTTGAACTTCCAGGAATCTGCTGTCTGTGGCTGTCTCCTATAGGTGTTAATCTTGTCAGTCTGCACTCTGCAGGCCAGCTTAAACATCACAGGGCAGGGCAGAGTCTTTCCTGGGGGTGGGGTTATTGGGTCAGCTCACGTTGCTGCAGCTCGGGAGAGTGGTGTGCCTGAGCCAGATGGCTTCTGCCATATGGGGAAGGAGTCAGCCCCCACCAGCCACCCTTTCCATCCTTTCCCCAAAGCCTGTGTCTCCAGTCTCAAGTGTCTGTAGACCACTCTGCGCTCCCTTTAGACAGCGATCTACTATCTGTGGCTGTCATATTGTACTCAGCAGTTAGGCATTAGCACTACCAGGCTAGGGCCGAGTCCTCCCTTGGGGCAGGGCTATTTTGTCCTCTCAGGCTGTTGCCACTCAGGAGAGTGGTCTGCCTGAGCAATATGTCTGCTGCTGTATGGGGATGAGTCAGCACTGGGATCCCACAGGCTACTCTCTCAGTTCTCTCCCCAAATCCTCCTTCCTCTGTCTCTCAGGCGTCTCCAGCCCACTTTGCCGCCTGCCTTTGCTGGAGACCAGCATAAGTATCCGTAAATAAAAATTTATGCATTGGCCCTTTAAACAGCTCTTTGCGTCTCTAGTTGCCTGCCTCTGGCAGAGAGCAACCCTGTCACTTTCCACAGCTGTCTGTTACCTATGTACTTTTTGGTCTCTGGTGCTGTAGGCTGGAGATCCCTGCTTATGGTTGAGACCCTGCTCTTCTCAGGGGGATCCAACTGGCCATTTCTATATCCGTCTGGCACTGCCACCCATGGGCACCCCATCCGTCTTCTCAAGTCTCTACCACCTTTCTTACCAGTTAGGTTGTGGTAAAGCTGATCCTTCTGTCTGTCCGAGATTATAAGGCTCCTCCTTTGCTATTGCTCAGTTATTTGTTCCTGGTGATTTATCCACAATTTAGTTGTAATTCCAGAGTGGTCCTGGGAGGAGGTCAGTGTGACTTCCACTCCTCTGCCATCTTGATTCTAAACCTTCACCTTCCATATTAAATAAGAGCCTTTCTGGGTAGAGTAGTCTTGGTTGCAGGCCTTTGCTTTTCCTTACTTGGAGTATTTCTTGCCATTCCCTCTTGGTTTGTATTCTTTCTATTGAGAAATCCGCTGCTAGCCTTCTTGGAGCTCCCTTGTATGTTACTGTTTTTCCCTTGTTTCTATTAAGATCTGTCTTTGTCTTTAAAATTTGCCCTTTTAACTTTGATGTGTCTTAGAGTAGGTCTCTTTGGGTTCATCTTGATTGGGATTTTCAGTTCTTCCTGAACTTGTGTGGCTTTTCCCATCTCCAGGTTAGGGCAAGTTTTCTGTCATCATTTTTTCAAACAGGATGTCTATCCCTTTCTCTTTTACTTCTCTTTCTCTTATTCCTGTGATTCCAGTGTTGTCACATTTCATGTTTTCTTGGAGTTCCCTTAAGCTATCCTCACTTTTTGAGTCTTTTTTTTTCATGCATCTGCTCTACCTGGTTATTTCTTTCTGCCTTGTCTTCCAGCTCACTAATTCAGTCCTCTGCGTCTTCCAGCCTCCCTGTAACTCCTTCTAGCTTATGTTTCATTTCAGATACTGTATTCTTCATTTCTTCCTGGTTTTCATTTATAATTTCTATTTCCTTTTTCATGCTGTTGTATGAAAACTCAGTTCCTTGTAGTTCCTGTAAGTTCCTTGACCATTGTTAAAACCATTTGTTTGAATTCTATGTCTGATAGGTTGCCTGCCTCAATTTCAGTTGGCTGTTCTACTGGGGATTCTTCCATTCATTTCGATTGGGGATTCTTTCTGTCTCCCCATTTTATGTGACACTTTTTAATTTTCATGCTGCTTAGAGTGTTCTGCTTTGCCTGCCTAACTTCCTGCAGTGACCTTCTGTGATGGGAATTCTGTGGGACTCATTGTTGAGGTCTCCTTGAATTCTGTCTCTGGATGCTGTAGGTTTGCCCTGTCTTCCATTTGTGGGCTTTCTTGTTGTTCCAGGGGTTTTTTTGTTGGTGACTTCTTTGTTGGTGTGTTCCTCCCTATATTGGGCTTACTGGTATTCACAGCTCCCACCTTGTCCTGTATGCACCTGTTTTGAAGTGTCCTCTGCACATTTTGGGGTCCAAACTTCATACCAAACTTCACATCATCGTGTTCACTTTGTTTTTTGGAAGATCAGTTGTGTGCACAAGCAAGTGGGCTCAGTTCCCACCTACTTTGCTGCCATCTTCTCTATCTAAACATTTTTTTTTTGAGAAAAGTCATTTATTTGTACTTTATTAATAATGTCTTAGGTAAATTATGTTAAGCAAGCTATATTGTAAGGTGGTCCATGTTCTTTATTTTCTCATTCCATTTTTTCCTTCTTTTATTCCCTCCTTTTCCATACCTGTGCCAGAGAAAATAGCTCAGGACATTGTTTCACAGTCACTAGTCTGGAATCTTCTGGGCTTCTTTACCAGAATCTCTGTGGATGTTGCAGTCCCTGACACCAGCAACATTGTTTTGTGGTAGAAAGTTTTATAATGGCTATCAGGCAAAGTGACTAAGGTTTCTAACTGCAGGTGTTACCCTTTGCAGAAACTCTGTTGGAAATTCTTTTTTGCCAATTCTTATATTCATCTGTAATTTAAAAATTATGTTCCTACCTCCCTGCCCCCACAAGTAAGGACAGACTTCTTAGGAACTTTTACTTGTGAAGATTTTGATAATCCTTTGTAATCAGTATATTTCCTAGAGCAGTGTTCTTTTACCCCAGAAACCCCTGCCCTTGTTGTCCCTAGCTATGTTGTGAGTTAAAAGCCTATATCGTTTATTAGGGGAGTTTGTAGATTCTTAGTCTTTCTTAGGATCACTTTTGATTTATATAGGAGTTAAAGGGAATTGTAATTAAACTTGTACTTTTTTTTTAAACCAAGCTGCCTCCATGGCAAATAAAGTAGTCATTCCAGTATCACTGTTTTATGTTTATTTCTTACTATCTTTAAATAGTCTTTTTTTAACCTATTTTTAGTGATACTTATAATAAACTCTGTTCTTATTACCCAGAATAAATAATTTTAGATAATTTCCAAAAGGACAAAAATGAAAAGAAGAATGGGAGGAAATTTGAGGACACATTCTAGACTTAGATTAGCATGCATGTATAGTGTCAGACTTTTCTTAACAAGAAGCTTTCAGTAATACTCCTTTTAAAAAAGACAACCCGGATCCCCTGGTGGATGTGGCTCAGTGGACTGAGTAGGGGCCTGCAAAGTGAGAGGTCCCTGGTTCCATTCCATTTAGGGTACAGGCCTGGGTTGGGCCAGGTCTCTAGTTGGCAGCATAAGAGAAGCAACTGATCGATATTTCTTTCCCTTTCTCCCTCCTGTCCCCTTTCTCTAAAAATAAAGAAAATCTTTTTTTTTTTTTTTTTTTTTTTGCAGATGTAGTCCCCTATTCAATCTGGGCTGCCACACAGACAGACAGAAAGCGCGGGGATTATTTTCTTTCGCATCCTAGTGCAAACCAAAAGAACAACATTAGATTGTTCAAGGTCTATCAGTGGATGCAGAAGAAAATCATTTTTAAAAATTAAAAAGACAACCAGGAGGAAATGATGTAGTTCTTTTAGCTTACAGAACCAAAAAAAGAAGAAACGTACATTTTTTTCTTTTTTTTTTTTTACTGTAGGAACATATTTCTCATAACTAATAGTATTACAGTGGTTAACTCTTTCTAGATTTCTGTCAGTAAAGCTAAGCATAAATAATTGAGGATCATGATTTGATCATGGTCAAAGGATAGGTAGAGCAATAGAGAAGTAATCAGCACCCAGATATTTTAGGGGGTGAGGTGAGGTGATGGGCAAGAAGGAAATATTCCTTGCAAGAGAAACTAAATACAGTATTTTAGTGGTAAAATATTTCTCTTTGCCTTTTTTTAAAACCTGTAAAACGGCAATATCTTCATGGCTATTTTTTAGAATTAAATAAAATAATACATATAAACATTTAAGTGTAGTGCTTGCATCTAGTAAGCCTTCAATACATTTAGCTGTTGCTGTTATTATTTGGATTTTTAAAGAGAACCCAAACTCATGGACAGCTGAGGGTAAATACACCTGTAATTTAAGAGTTAACAAAGTAAGCCCTGGCTGAGTAGCTCAGTTAGTTAGAGCATTGGGCCCATATGCCAAGGTTGCAGTTCAGTCCTTGGTCAGGGGTGGGTGGAGTGACAGGTTGGTGTTGAGCGCGCTCGCTCTCTCTCTCTCTCTTCCCCCCCCTCCTTTCTTTATCCCTCCCCCTCATCAATTTAAAAAAGATTTTGCAACGTGTTTAAGGTACTAAAAATGATATCCAACTTCTTTCTTCACATGTTTATTGAATTACTTTGAGAAAGCATAAAATTTAAATCCTTTATTCTGATTTAGTAGAATGCAATAAATTTAATAACTGTCTTACAAGTGAAAAAAATTACATTTATCCCCTTTTTCCCTTTGTTTCAGGTTTCCCCTCAAAAAACCTATAAGGTAAGTTACTCAGTTGCACCTCATACATTTAGGTTAAATTTTAATTGGGAGCATTCCTTTGAAATTATGGTGGAATTTTTGTGGTTTTTGAAAATGTGGATTTTAGTTTAAAATTTCAAAATGTTTTGCAGATTTAAAATGTAACAGGTGTTTCTGTCTTTTCTGGAAGATGGCAGTATTTTGATAACAAATGTTTTTAATATAAGCATTTTAAAGGTTTGTACAAATTGATGCTTAAGGTCACTCCCTATGAAGAGGTTTAATTTTAAAATCTACTGTGACTGCTTTCGGTTGTGAATAGCATGGAGAGTGTAAGTGGATTACCAGTTTTTGATGTGTTTTATCATCTGGGTAATTGTAACTGCCTTTAGTTAATGAACTTCGGCAAACCAGATCAGTCTTAATTACTTTAAAACAGGGTAAAAATCCAGAATGTTCAAGTATCTGTGCCCCTATCCATATCTCCACATTTACTAATTTCCCAGGATTAAATGTCCCTTCCTCAGTACTTGTTCTTTAACATCCTTCTCTTTCATCTTAATTGTCATAAATATTATTTAGAATGTAGGTATCATGTCATTCCTAATTATTATAATGCATTTATCATTTTAGTGACACCATAGTACAGGATACCAATGCTAATTTGGCATTTCAGTTCATTAGTAGTGTATATATTATATTGCGTTGGCCAGAAAGTTATTTGGTGTTTCTTGTAAGATAGCTGTAATAGTGCTTAGTTGTCTTTAACTTCATTTGAAACAATTTTGTTACATTGTACTGTGACAGCTGTCATATCAGCGGGCATTTTAAAAAATACTTATCAAAACTGGTGACTTTTTGTGTAGCCATTTTAATATTGAAGATGGAAGAAAGCAACATTATCAACATATTATACTTTATTAATTCAAGAAAGGTAAAAATGCAAGAAAGATTTGTTCAGTGTATGGAGAAGGTGCTATGACTGGTTAAACGTATCGAAAGTGGTTTGCCCCACATTATTGTTGTCAGGATAACTGTAATAAAATAACAATACAAAAATTTTTTAAAAAGTCATTTGCAAAGTGTCATGCTGGAGATTGGAAGAGGCTTCACAATCACTTAGACCAGTTGAAGCTGATAGCAATCGGCTTCATTGAGACATTAATTGAGAACAGTCAGCATTCTACCATGCAGATATAGCCGACATACCCAGAATATCCAAATCAATAAAGTTATTGGTGAAAATGAAAAATATGTCTTTTATTTTATGGAAAAAAAACATACAGACTTTTTGGACAACACAATAGTTATGGTTTTACTTACTTACTGCCCAGCCATAATCTGGTCAGGTAATTTGATAAACGATAAGAAAAATAATAACTCTAGTGTTGTCTGGGCTTGGTTAAGATTACTGTGGCTAGAACTATATAGGCAGGCTTTAAGTGAGGTTTCCCCAAGATGTTTTTATTCAACTGCTGTCATCAGTGCTATATTTACACAGTGATTTTGAACTTGACCATGGTGTATATATAGATTTGGGCAATGAGTTCAATTGCTTGTAGGCAGTTTTCTTGTCTGTTAAATGAAAATAATAATGATTTGTATTTGAAAACCAATAAAAGAATTTAAGCAGTTATTTATAAGAATCAAACCACCTTTATAACAATATTACTTTTATAATTTTTAAGCATTTTTATAGCCAAATAAATAGACTCTGTATTACACATAGCACAGACTGATTTTAAAATTTCTTGAAAAATATAAATTAGGCTTATGAGACTATGTAAGGTAAATTGATTTCTTGGTTTCTCTTTGTAAGACACACTTGAGATTTTTAAATTAAGTTTTTATGCTAATGACTTTTTTACAGTAAATATTTGATTGCTTTGATTTAATTTAGGCACGGAAGTATTCTGAACCGAGAGTTGCCAACAGATAAGAAGCAGAAAGTTGAGCGCAGTGTATCACATGATTTTGACCCCACAGGTAAAACACTTTACTCTTCCAAATTATATTGAGAGAAATAAACTTCAGAATACTATAGTTAAGCTACATAACTACCTGAAACACTTTTTTCAGAAGTAGCACTTCTTTTTGGGACTAATCTTCCTCTTTAATTATATAATATAAAATCTTTTCAGGAGAAATGCAAACATTTTTAACTTTCAGTACTATGGATTCCACTATGGAAGCATCATTGTAGAGTGTATTTAAATATGGTGATGATAATAAAAATAGTTTTTATATCATAATTGGGTATTTTGTTAAGACCAAGTTCTTAGTATTAAAATAAATCATAGGTAGAACCAGTAGTAAGTCAAAATCAAGTCTGTAACAACTACCAATTTCTGTAGTCATTTAAAAATTCAAATCTGGATTAGATAAATACAACTTCAAAATTAATTATCATTTTATTTTAGAATAAGCAAATGAGAGATCACTTTTTCTTTAGTCAAAAAGTATTCTGAACTCAGAGCTGTATTTCAACCTCAGTAGTGTTGCTTTTTCCTAGAGTTTTCATGTTAGTAGACGTTCAACTATTCATATTCCTTAATTTATACATATAGTTTGAAGTCTTCTTGTAAAATATAGGTTGTTGCTTTCTCCTTGTAAATTCATGGAGTATTTAATTTAGTAAAAAAATTACTTGATAATTTTTCTTTCATCATTTGAAACTGATATGTATTCTTTGTGCACATACTATATTATTCAGTTGTATGTCGCTGTGACAAAAGATAAAATATGTAAATGCTAAGGTTCCCAAATACATAAATATAATGTATCTATTTACAGATATTTTTATTTAGAAATAAAATTTTAAATATTTAATAGAGAGTATTTTTGTGTCTAATTAACATGTTTCATGCTTTTAGTATAAACTGCTCTTTTATTTTGAAAAATATAAATATTATCTAGGATGGAAAGAACCGAAAATGAATAGCTAATAATTTACCAGCATCTTGGATAGTAGGTAAAAATGAAACCCCAGTCATCAATTTATGAGGTTTTGGTGGTGGGAATATGTGATATGTAACTTCTGGATTTCCATTAAAGATAATTCTTTATTTCTGACACCTAATTTTGACACTACGGGGCTCAGAGACTTTTATCTATATGATTAGTTTTTGTCTTGCTAATGAGGCTTATAAGTTTTCTGGCCTATATTCATAAAAGTGTTGTGGTCTTGTTAGACTGACTTATTTTGTATTGTTTATCTGTGATGTAACCATTTCTGAAGACAGATTTTGCCAAGTGATATGCAATGCTTCATAATGAGATTATTATTGCTTTTAGTTCTTTTGCCATCTCTAAAATTGTCATATGATATATTTTGTAGACTATTCATGTGTTGTTTTCTTTGAACATATTTTTATTGCACTGTCTTTTCTTTAAAATATGTCATTACCTATGCTGTTCATGACTATTCTAAGTGCTGTCATCTGTGATATTCATACTTTATGTTTGCACGATTTAACTTGATCATGATTCATTCTTTTTTCCCCCATGAATTTTTCCCCTTACATTGGTCTCCATATTTTCTATATCTCTCTCCTTTTCTCCCGCTCTTGTGCAGATAGCTCCTCCAAGAAGACAAAGTCTAGTTCAGAGGAGAGTAGATCCGAGATATATGGTAAGCTTATATAGACAATTCAGCCTTGCACCTTTGGAGCTTGCTTCATGCTGTTTCCTTTTTAAAAGTAACTACATCCTTCCTGTGTCTGCTCTGCATGGCATGATCTACTGCTGGGAAAGGGAGTCTGGGGTTTTAATGCGGCTGTGATGTGGAAGCTTAAGGTTGCTAGAAACTAACATAGAGTAAGAATAGGCCACATTACTCATCTTCGTTTTCGTTTTGTTCATGTTAGGAAGGTAATTATCTCTCATATGTTTGGATTAGGTTCCTCCATGTAACATGGATGACCATTGAATAATAATTCTTCTTCTTCCTTCTTCTTTCTTCTTCTTCCCCATTCCCCTTTTCCCCTTCCCTCTTCCCTCCTTCCTCCTCCTCCTCCTCTTCCTTTTCTTCTTCATTTTATTTTCTTTTTCTTTATTTTTAATTGGGGCATTAAATTCTTATCTTCTTCCCATATCCCGTTTGCAGGCTTTGGATCATGTAAAATTTCATCAGTGCTACCAGTTCTTTTCCTCTAAGTATAGTACTGGTATAATTCAATGTGTGTTAGCAGTTCTTTGGAATTTTTGTTTTATTTTTTATTTGTTTATTTTGAATTGCATCATCTGGAAATGCAGTTCTTGTTTAATTTATCCACAGCAGCAAAATACCTTAAGTATTTTATTTTTGTAACTTGAAGAATTTGTCTATGCTTTCATAAGTTTCCCCAAAGTTTATTCTGTCTGAATGGGCAAATTTCAAAATGGCACCTTTTACAAATAATCTTTATAAAGAGCAGGTTTATCCAGAATGGTCAACTTTTGTAACAGGTTATTGAAACACTTAATATTTCCAGATTGTGTCTTGTCTTCCATGGATAATATAAACCATATTTGTGAAATTCGTACATTTTTTTTTTTTATTCCTTTGCAGAGTTTTACTTTTCCTCTTTCCTGTTTTGACATCTAATTAGTTTTTTGAGAAAGTGAATAGGAGAAACAGAACCTGGAACCAAGACTTTGAAAATAATTTCTAAAACACTAATGTTATTTTCTTTTAGAAGATTCCAAATTTGGCATCAAAGGAAAACCATGCCTTCTCTAATAGAGCCAAAAGTCTGTTAAGTAGAAGTTTTCTCAGGTATTGCTGATTCCTAGCTTGATATACATGAAAGGAAAATAAAATATGAAAATGTCTCTAACCCTTTTAAGATATTTTATAGCTTATCTCTCCTGACACTTCAGCCCATAATACCAGATACTTTTTAATATTATGAGACTTCAGTGTTTGGTTATAAAGCAGTAAATACATCTTTGTTAGATACATACACATAATTCTTTGCTTGGGCTTTTGTGACCAGTGCTTTTTCTGTATAATTAAACCTTTTATAGTAGTTCAACAGGAAATGTATACCATGCCAAACACATGTCAAGTTTATGTTTTTTCTTTCAAAGTATTTGGCTCCACATAAGTAAGAAATAGCTTCTGAATTTCTCGAGACTCTTCTGTTCTGTATAAAGAGTTTCCTGTGGTTTATTCTCCCTTTAGGAATGAGAATGCTATCTTTATAGCCTCATTCTTTTCGAGTAGCCTCTGCAATGTTATTTTATTTCCCCCATCAGTTTCCTAGATCTGTGGTGTGTATTTAAAAGCTTGCTGTTTGCTTAAGATGATAGGATCTTTGCTTTGGATGATAACATGATAGACATGTATGATACCTTGCTATTTGATTTGGATGTTAACACTAGTTCAGACATGCCATTGGCTTAGTAGTAATAGGAATGTTTTAAGTGGTAATAAGGATGTAAGGTGGAGATTCTCTTTGTGTTTGTTTCTTGAGAACTGTTGAAGTGCCTTTTGTGGAAAACACTGAGCCATGAGTTCTCATAAAGCACTTTATGAAAACATAAAGTTTATCAGAACAAAGTTAATTAGCATTTTAACCTAAATCTCTTTCACATTACAAATATTTTATCACCTGTGCGAGTAGACTTCAGACCGTGTGCAGTTAGCATGGATGAAACAGAATCTCTAATCCTAGGGAGCCAAGGGAAGCTTAGATGTAGTGGAATATGAGAGTAGAATCATAACCACTGGTGACATTGCTTTAGTATAGGGTCTCTTAACAGGCCGGCTTCTAACTTTAGAGATTATACATTGTCTTGGAGTAAAATTCATTAGCTGGATACTTAATACAAGCACCAGTTATTCACTTATAAGTTATTTATTTTAAACTTTCTTAGCCATTTTTAGAGCTGTTTTATCAGATAGATTTGCTTTGCTCACTTTAAAAGGAAACCAAGTGTTTGTTTTGTATTGACTTCTTTTGTTAATTTTCTACCCGATGTAGTAGGTCAATATTTATTCCGTATCCCCTTATTTTTTTCCCTTTGTACCTTTTGGAGTCTGTTGATCATATACAGATGTATTTTCTGACCTGCAATTTTAATGATACTTAATTTTTTATTTTTCTCACTAATATTATAGTGAAGAAATTTTGTAGCTTTTGTGGGGTATAAGAGATTTAACAAGGGAATTTTGAGTTAGATACCCCGTCCTAATTTCTGTCTTGGTTTCATGAAGAGATTCCAGCTGATAGTATTTTGTACAAGAAATAACCCATGCCTTTTTGAAGCTGTCTCAGTCTGCTGGGGCTACTATAACAAAACGCCAGAGGCTTGGCTTAAATAACAGAAGTGTAATTATTTTCTTACAGTTTTGGAGGCTAGGGTATGAGATCAGCGTGCCAGCATGGTGTGGTTCTGGTGAGAGCTCTTCTCCTGGATTCTTTGGCTCGCTTGTTTTTTCTTTGGTGTAAGCACATGGAGAGAGAGAGAGAGAGAGAGAGAGAGTGAGAGTGAGGGAGAGAGAGAGAAGAAAAGAGAGGATGGCAGAGAGAGAAGCTCACTCAGTATATGAATTTTGTGGAGGACAGAAACATAGAGTTCTTAGCAGAGGTGAACCGCTAGTACTTGAGATATACTGGTTTGGATACTTCAAAGCATATTCTTTAAAATTCATATTTTCTAAAATGTATTTTTATTGAATTTGTTGAGATGGCCTTGGTTAATAAAATTATATATGTTTCAGGTGTACAATTACATAATACATTATCTGCATATTGTATTGTGTATTCACCACCCAAAATCAAGTCTGCTTCCATCACCATTTATCACCTCTTGCCTTCTCTACCTCCCCCACCTCCCATTTTTTTCATATTTAACTTCTCATATCTGTACAAAGAAAAGTTCTTGGTTTGATTTATTTTATTTTTAGAGAGACAGGAAGGGAGGGAGAAAGAGAAGGAAACATCGATATGTGAGAGAAACATCAATCGGTTGCTTTTCTTACATGCCCCTGCAGGGGACAGGATCCACCCAGGCATGTGCCCTGACTGGGAATTGAACTGGTGATCTTTTGATTTGTGGGATGGTGCTCATCAACTGAACCACTCTGATTAGGGCTCTTGGTTTGATTCTTTCACCAAGTTATGATTCTCTTTTTTTCCTTTAACTTTGCAAAGAGCATTCTGCAGTATGAACCTTCTATGTCCTTATAAATCATTCATTTCTTAACCTCTTGAAATTTGATATCTAAACACATACTATCTCAAAAGTAAACCAACATATTTGACTTGAAAATCTATAAACTTTTTTTCAGTTCTCACCATCTCTCTGAACCATTTGACAATGCTGATGCTCTTTCTTTGGTTTCTACAGTATTATATCAACCAGATTCTTTTCTCTTGATAATTGGCTTTTCTTTTTCTTTGTATTTAATTGCTTTTTCCTTTTACAAATGTAGGCATTACCTGAGTTTCTGTCCCTGATCTTTCTCTTTTTCCAGTTTTATATTTTTAACTGTTTGCTGAATACTTTCACTCTAACTATTCTTCATATTCAGAACTACCAATTTGAAGTTTATCAATGTTCTTTATGGCTAGAAATCAGTCTTCCCTTGATTATCTTCATTTTTTGAGTGGCACTGTCATTCTTCCGTTAACCTCGTCTGACTTTTTTATAGTTATTTTTGACCTCTCCCTTTACCTTGCCCTCTCTAGTCAACTGTTTGAGAGGTCCCATTGATTCTACCATCACTCTGTTTTTCAGCCCTCACTGTTTGGTTCTATTCCCACTGCTTTGCTCAGTTTTTCATCATTTCATTAGACTATTTTAATAGACTCATAATTTTCTTTTACTTTTAGTTCACATTGATTCACTTCCTATTCCCCATTCTTGTATATTTTGTCAGATTAGTATTACTAACAAAGATTTGGGAAGTACAAATAGTTATTAAAAGATGACATAACTTATTTCAAATTGATCTTTCTATTTTAATTTACTGTTCACCTAAATGTACCAGGTTCTCCTTCAAATTTTCACTTCCGAATTATGTCTTGGTTTTCTTTCTTTGTTCATGCTATTCCCATTGTCTTGAAAGGTTTACCTTCTATAACTTCTGTTAGAATCTTCCTCATCATTCCAGGCTTTCCTGGATGTGCCCAGCTGCTTCTGTTGTCTGAGCTCTGACATCCTGCTTTATGTCTAGTTATTTGTACTTCTGTTTATCTTCGTATCTTCCATCATGCTTGACATCCTGATGGCAACTCACTCAGTTTTGAGTGAGTGCTTTTTGAGATTTGGGGTATCATAGTAAAGAGAATTGGTGGATAAAGAAGGTATTGACTCATCTCAATTGGATTTTTCTACTGAAAAATTATAAGGTAGAAGAAAATGTAACTTATTTTTTATTTCTTTTGTGTTTTTTAAAGTATATTTTATTGATTATGCTATTACAGTTGTCCCATTTTTTTTTCTCCCCTTTATTCCCCTCTGCCTTGCACCACCCTTCACACCAGTATTCCACCCCCTCCTTAGTTCATGTCCATGGGTCATACATACAAGTTCTTTGGCTTCTCCATTTCCTATACTGTTCTTAACCTCCCCCTGTCTATTTTGTACCTACCATTTATGCTTTTTGCTCCATGTACCGTTCCCCCCATTCTCCCTGCTCCC